GGGGGGGGGGGGGGGGGTGGGGGCAGCGGCGGAGCAGTGACGTCATCGTGATGTCAGGAGAGCCCGACTACAGCGAGAGAGGTGGATTGTGGGAGGAGGGCTCGAAGCTTGAGTTTGTTTGGATTTCTGGGGGAGTGTGGGGGGGGGGCCAGAGTCCACAGGCCGTCTAGGAGGGGGGGGACTGAAGGGGTGTGATGTCATCGTCTCTCGCTCACACGTCTCTCTCTCTCTCTCACTCGTCTCACGTCACTCGACTTCTGCTTCGACCGGACCGAAGACAGAAGAGTTAAATCCAGCAGAAGTTTGTCCTCGTCCACCTCTGATGTCTCTCAAAGCTCCGTCTACCCGACCAGACGATCTGGAGAGGAAGAGAAGAAGTGATTATTATTCATCAGGAAATATTCAGTGAAGTCTGAAGAGCTTTGATCAAGATAAGCTTGTTCTAGGTGCTTTTATTGTGAAACAGGAAGCTGTTCTCCGTCCACTGAACAAAAGAACATCTGTTAGTGAAGACGTTCTACATTCAGAGAGCCGTCCTCAGTCAACAGGAAACAAGGACGTGTTTCAGTTGGCGTGTATTAGAGTGTGTGTCACAGAGTGTGTGGTGTACCAGGCCTGGCTCTTGAGCTTGCGGAGCTCCTTGGTGGCCCAGGTAGCCAGGGTCTTTGTCTTGGTGGTTTTGGAGCGTCGACCCTCCGTCAGCAGGTCATTGATGAGCGGACGAACCTCCACCATCTTCATCACGTCTTTACCGAACGCAGTGCACAGGTCTCTGAACACAAACACACACGAACACACGTCAAAGACCTGACACTGAACCCAGAATGTGTTCTGGTCTCAGATGTTGTGGTTCAGGTTTTCCATCACTAGTCAGAGTGGTGCATGATTTATCTTCATAGACCGAACATCAACATTCAAACACTCCACCGGTCACCCCTTCTCTCCCTTCCTCCTCCTCCCCCTCACCCGATGAGTCCAGCAGCGTTGGCCACGACTCCATCAGAGTGATCTTCATCCTCCGCTATGTGATGGATGAAGGAGAGGATGAACTCCACCCGAGGCTGAACCAGCATCACGTCAGCTACAGGGACAAAGAGGAGGAGAGGGTCAAGGGAGGAAGAGGAGGATACAGATGAAAACATTTCATCATCTTCATTGTTATATTTTGTTGAGTCTTGCAAAACCAGGTAGCCGTGTATTGGGCCTTAGCCTGAAGCTCTCTGGGTGAAACAGACTCGTTAATCTACGACGTCGTAAAATCCTCCTGATAGTCTTCAGTCAGGAGGAGGAACCGACGTCGAGTGCTCTCTACGAGGTCTCTTACGGTGCACGTTCTCCTGGTCCCCCTTCAGGCCCTGGATGATCCCGGTGTAGGCCTCCAGACAGCCCTCCCTCAGCTCGTTCAGGTAGTCCACCATGTCGTAGTCCGTCTGAACACAAACACACAGACATGTCCTCATGTGAAACCATGACATCACAGATACTGTTTCTTTACATGATGCATGATACCACGTCACCATGGTTCCCAGGTGTTTACCTTCTCCACCTGAGCCTGGGAGGCCTGCTGCAGCGTGTCCAGGACGATGTCCAGGTACTTCTTGAACTCTCCTCCGATGGCCAGAGCGATGTCTCCGAACGCAGACAAGATCTGAGGCTTCACGGACCGATGGACGTTCTCGTTCTGGAGACAACAGACACGTTACAGAAGAACTGAGGCTGGAATCAATATCAAGACATCAGACGGTTGACTTCTCTATAAAGAGACCACTAGGTCATGTTTTCAAACACCAAAAGTACCAATCGTTTAAATTGTTGTTCTTCTCTGACTTCCTTCACGGTTATTGATCCACTACAGGAAGTGAAGTGTGGAGGTCTCAGATAAATGTGGTTGGTGTTTACATCACACATCAGCGTGGTGCATGATTATCATCAAGGACCTCAAACACATCAGATCCAGGGAGCTAATCGATGAATGATAAGACGATGAAGATGAAGGACGGACTCGTCTTCCTCACCCCGAGGTTCTCCAGCAGCAGCTGCATGATCTCGTCACAGAATGGCAGGATGTTGGACATCAGAGCTCTGCACAGGTCGCACACCAGACCCACCGCCGCCAGACACACCTGTAACATCGTCATCATCATCAACGGGGTAGTCATGGAAACCAGGCGGTGTGTAGGAGGAGGAGCCTGGGGCTGAAACCCCCGACCCGATCCATTAAACTACGTTTACGAAACTCTGACTCCAGAATGTGAAGTGTGGAGGTCTCAGATAAATGTGGTTGGTTTTGTCATCACAGTCAGCGTGGTGCATGATTATCATCAAGGACCTCAAACACATCAACACAGCAGGTGGGTGACTGTCGGAGCCTTTGCGCCGCGCAGCTTTACCGTCGGAGCCTTTGCGCCGCGCAGCTTTACCGTCGGAGCCTTTGCGCCGCGCAGCTTTACCGTCGGAGCCTTTGCGCC